TTGTTTACCCTTACAAAAGCACCAGCTCTCAGATCAGTTGAATCTTTGTATTTTGTTATTGTTGCTTCTAGTTCGTTGACTTCTGCTCTGATTTTTATTTCTTGCCATTGGCTGTGGATTTGGTTTGTTCTTGTTTTTCCAACTTTTTGAATTGCATCATTAGTCATTTACTTGTGTTCTTTATGATTTTTTTTTTTAATGTAGGCACTTAGAGGTATAAATTTCTCTCTTAGGACCTCTTTCATGGTGTCCCAGGGATTTTATTGTCTTGTGTTTTTATTGTCATTTAGTTCCAGGAAGTGTCTATCTTGATTTCTTTGACCATTCCATCATTCTTTAATAAGTTATTTCATCCCTAATGAGTTTTTATATTTACTAGAAATTTCTTTTTTGCTGTTAATTTTGTTTTATTGCATTATAGTCAGATAAGATACAAAGAGTGATTTTCTTTTTCCTCTTCTTTTCTTTTCTCTTCTTTTCTTTCCTTTCCTTTCCTTTTCTTTTTTTGTAATGTGAAAGGACCAGATCCCTTACACGACTTGCCAAGACCAGTTCTCAGCACAAAGGAAGGGCAAGGGATAAGAGACAAACATGGGAGACAGAGGAAGGAGAGGGAAGGAAACAAGAGAGAAGGGGTGGAAAATATGTGCCTTGGAGGGACAAAGGGCTGCCTCTGCATAGAAAGGAGGCAGACTTGGCCCACAGGCAATGGCAATTTTTATAGAGAAGAAAGATAACCTTGCATTAGGACGAGTAGATTTGTTTTGGATGGACATGTTAATTAGGTGAGTCAAATAGGGGCTTTTGATCGTTGGACTTCAGTACTTTAATAACTGGACCTTGGAAGTCAGCCTCAAGACGAGGAAGTGGCCAAGTAGGGGAATAGACCTTGGTGACTGACTTTAGGAATGTAATGTAATGGTTTTTAGGAAGGGGGAGAGGGACACGTGAAGGGCAAAACCTGTAGGTGTCCTGCTTGCATGCTTGTGATGCTGGCTGTACTGCCCGTGCTAGCTGTGCTTGCCAAGTTCGCCATACTCCGTCTGCCAGAGCGCTTCATAAAGATTTGTTGATGTATCCTGAGATGTTGTCTATTTTAGAAAAGCTCCTATATGCTCCTATATGGTACTGAGTAGAATGTACATTCTTTGGTGTTTGACTAGAATACACTGTTAGATATTAAGTCCATTTGATATATGTTCAGTTAATTCCGATGTTTTTCTGTTTATTTTTTGTCAGATGAATTGTCTATTGGAGAAAGTGGGATATTGAAATCACTTACTAATCATGCTAATCTGTATCTTTAAATCCAGAAGTAGATTTTGTTCTTTTTAACAAATTTAGGTGTCCTGAAATTTGCTACATGTATGTTTAGGATAGTAATATCTTCTTGGTTAATTCTTCCCTTGATTGGAATAAAGTGTCCCTTCTTAACTCTTTTGATTAATTTCAATTTGAAATCTATTTTTGTTAGATTTTAGGACAGCAACACTTGCTTAAGTTCTTTCACCTTAACTTCATTGAGCTGTTTCTTGGTGTTTTATTTAAATTCCTTGAATTACCTGTTAAAGTTGAAATTATGATTGTTCTTCTAAGTTCTGTGTCCTGGAGTTCATCTAGGTGGTTCTCTTTGGGTTGGTGGAATTTTTAGAGAAGATACTGGCTTGATCTTTCACATTGTTTGTATTCTTTGGAGATCTGAGCATATGGATTGTTCTGAGTTTGTTGTGGACAGTACAGGTTGGGGAAGCAGTGTAGGTATAGGGGCATATTGGGTCTAGAGGTTGGAAATGGCTTGGGGTGGAAGGAAGTCTGGTAGACAGAAGGAATTGGACAGTATACAAGCCTAGATCTGTCTGGACAGAAAGGTTGAATATGTGTGAGAAGTCCTATGTCTCTGCTTGTGTGTAAGTACTTCATGGTGAGCCACATCTCTCTGCTTGTGTGTAAGTGCTGCATGATGAGCCATGTCTCTGCTTGTGTGTAAGTACTGCATGGTGAGCCATGTCTCTGCTTGTGTGTAAGTACTGCGTGGTGAGCCATGTCTCTGCTTGTGTGTAAGTACTGCATGGTGAGCTATGTCTCTGATTGTGTATAAGTACTGCATGGTGAGCCATGTCTCTGCTTGTGTGTAAGTGCTGCATGGTGAGCCATGTCTCTGCTTGTGTGTAAGTGCTGCGTGGTGAGCCATGTCTCTGCTTGTGTGTAAGTGCTGCGTGGTGAGCTACATCTTTGCTTGTATATATGTATGTACTGCATGTATGGCTGTCTTAGTTACTTTACAACTGTGACAAAATACCAACAACAGCTTAAGGAAGAAAATATTTAACCTGGGAGTTTGAGATCATGAGCCTTATGTTGGGGAACATGAGAGACATGCAAGCATGATGCTGGAGCAGTAACTGAAAGCTCACATCTTCATCCACAAGCATGAGACAGAGAGCTATCCTCAAAGCCCACTGCAGTGACATCTAAGAAAGCTATACCTTTTAATATTTCCTAAGTAGTTCCACGAGCTGGAGACCAAGCTTTCAGACACATGAGCCTACAGGGGCCATTCACATTCAGTCCTCTACAATGACTTACTGCAGGAGAGCCCTGAAAATTTGGCCTTACATGGGAGAAGGAAATGATAGCAGCTATTATTTCTGTTTTTCATCAGAAAGCTAAAAGTCTTCCCAGACTCTCCTTTGTTCATTTCTGCCTGGTGCTTTGTTGGCTAGTATGCATCTCCTAGATGTGCCATCTGCAAAGGATGTTGGACATGTGGTCTTTCCTCTCTAGTGTCTTTTGGAGAGAAGACAAAGGAATCAGTGATGTCTGCACAAGCCTCATTAAGCACTTGTTCTAATTTTTTCTCCTCCCCTACCTCCAACCTTGCAAACACAAGATTAGCAGTTGACACAAATAGAATGACAGTAACTATGTTATTTATCCACTGCACTGCTCCATTTTCTCTCCATGTAGCTTAGACGGCTCTAGACCTGTATTTTGGCAGCACAACCAGTTCCGTAGGGTTAGTTCGAGGGCTTTCCTTCTTGTTACACAAGAAATGTCATACTGAGTAATACGGTAGCATGACCAGGAATCTCCTTAGCCTGTTGGTGTTGTTTTGTTTTCCTTCTTTCAGGGATACATGTTGTGGTGGATGGACTGAGAATGGTTCATAGAGGCCCATGAGTTTGAATGCTTGCTTCTTCTTAGTTGGTGGAACTGCTTGAGAAGGATTAAGAGATGTGACCTTATTTGGGGAGGTATGTCACCAAGGGCAGCTTTGAGATTTCAAAAGTCCACACCATCCCTTATTTAGCTTGCTCTCTTCGTCTCATGGCTGTTGTCTCATAATGTAAATTCTCAGCTACTGCTCACATGTTCTGCCTGCCTGTTGCCACAGTCCCTACCATTATGGTTGTGGATTCTAACCCTCTGAAACTCTAAGCCCCAAATAAACTCTTCTATAAATTGCCTTGCTCATGATGTCTTTCATAGCAATAGAAAAGTAAGATGTATGTTCAGTTTTTTTTGTTTGTTTTACTTTACAAATTTAAGGCATGAAAAAGAATTAGTAGATATGAGCTTCTTTACTTTGTGTCCATGGTCCAGAGAGACTGGACAGTAGATAGTGATGAAGTCTCTTCCTTCTAAGGTCATGGTGTTCTCTGCACTATGCAGTGACTGCCACATCTTCACTCATTTACTCCTATAAATGTTTTAGTGGGTTTTTGTTGTTATTGTTGTGTGTTTATTGTAACAGGGTCTTACGAAGGACAGGCTGGCCTTAGATGTATTATGTAGCCAAGTGTGGCCTTGAACTTCTGATCATCCTCCCTTTACCTTCCAAGGCCTGGCCTGGCACGTGCTGCCAAGCCAAGTTTATGCAGTGCTAGTGAATGAACAGGGCTACATGCAAACACTACGAACTAAACTATATCTCCACCCCTCAAACATTCTAGTAGTATACCAGCTCTTTAGACACATTTTTGGAGCTTGGTCAAGGGAGGAAAACAGAAAGCCTGCTAGTGCACACATCTCTTTCTCCACTGACTGACCACTGTGTTATGAGCTGCTCTGCTCTACAACACCCTTCTCATGACGCTGGACTGAAGCCTCTTAGTTTGTGAGCCAGAGTACCACCTTTTAAGTTTTTCTCAGTTATTTATTGTAGCAACAGAAAGTCTAATAGAACCACTTAGGGTTGAAGGATTTATTGTATTTCCTGTTTTCATAGTTTTGGGTCTATGGTTATGTGGCCCAGTTACTGTTGTCCCATGGAAAGGCAGATCATCATGGCAGAATATCAGAGTACCACTACTGGCTGGTAAACAGTAGGAGTCTAGGAAAGCAGTGCCCTTCACAGACATGCACACAATGTTCTACTACTGCCTCTAATGAGGTTTTACCCCCCACTAGCTCATTCAGTGTAAATTCATCAAACATTAGTCCTGTGATGAAGTTAATATAGCCAAGATCAACCACTTGTTAATAATTGGACCCAGCATGCTGGGTACCGAAACTTCAGCATCAGTATCTGGAGGATACTTAATAAACTATGATGTTATAAAGGGACTAGGTGCTACAATACTCCCTCGGAAGTCTTAGGTCTGTATGACGTGACTACAGATAGCAAATAGGACAGACTAGATTATAATATGACAACAAATTACTCAGTAATCCTCAACAACTTACCATGCTACATAGTAATGGACATGATATACATGTTTACTGTATGTCATAGATGTTGCATGTCATTGTCACTCTGGGATCCTGACCTGTGGAACAAATCTATCTAGAATGTCATTTACCTCACAGAAGAGGGGAAAAAAAGATGGAGAATGAGAAGTTAGATTTTAAAGCTTCTGCCCATATTTGAGCAAAACAGGACCTACATCCATTCCCTAGTAAATAAGACAGGATGTGTAATCCTCTCAAAGGAAGGGCCAGTGACTGTTTTGAACAATATGCAAACCTCCTATGCTAATATTGTAACCTTCTGATCTTAGATGCATATGGAAACTACAGTGTGTAGACCAGTCCTGTCTCCAACCCACATCAATGCGACAGCTTCTGAAACCTTTACGGTGCTTCAGCAGAAGATGAGGATAGTTGAGGAACAGACCAGCTCTCTGAGAGACGACCTAATAATGCTAGGATATGGTGACAGACGGTAACAAAGAAAACTTAACTAGAATGCTGCAGTTTGCAGAATTTTAATTTAATGCTAGTAAAAAGCAGATGAGATAGATACTTTTGGAAAATATGTTTCCATGTGAACTTTGACACAAGTGTATTTTTAGATAGAGTTGTGGTTCTGTGATAGAGTATGTGGTTTAATTACTTTTTTGTTTTGATAAAACACTATGACCGAGGCAACTTATAAGGGCTTATTTGGGGGGATATGACTTCATGGTGGTGGGGTGGACATAGAAGGAAACAGATAGCTGAAACAGCAGTTGGGAGCTCACACCTTGATCAGCAACCAGGAAACAGAAGATAATAGGAGTAGCAAGAGTTTCTTGAAATCTCAAAGCCCACCCTCAGTGACACACTTCCTCCAACAAGTCCACACCTTCTAATCTCCCCAAACAGGGCTATCAACTGGGGATCAAGTACTCAAATGCCTAAGACTTTGGGGATACCTCATTCAAACCACTACTGTTAGTCAGATATTTGTTGCTACTACAAAACCACCCTTCAGGACATCTTAAGGGAGGAAGGATTTATATTTGGTTCTCCATTTCAGAAGTTGGGTTCTTGGTCCTGTGGACCTGAAGTGAAGCATCATGGCAGACTTAGTGGAACAGATGTGCTTCCTCATGACAGCCATAAAGAGCAGGGTTAGGAGAGTGGGGAAGACATCGTCAATACCTGAGCTTTTGAGGAACACTTTATATACAAACCATAGTACATAGCCATGGCTGCTATTTTAGATCTTATTTGGAAATCAGTCAAAGGAAAAATTGAAACGATTCATGCCATTAATGTGGTCTTGATTTTTCCCTATTATATTTATTATAAATTAAGAGGCAGGTTTGAAATCCTTGACTATTTCACAATTTAGAATCAGACACTAAAACCGAACTATTTTTCCCACCTGTATCACGAAAGAACTTTTTTTGTTTTAAAGTTTATTGGCTCAAAAAACCAGAAAAAAAAGTTTATTGGTTTGTTAATGATAAGGGAAATACATGTTTATGCAGCCAATATGGAGTTTGTTGGTGTGGTTTGTTTTAGAAATGTCTTATATATTTTCTGAGTGCCTCACATTAAAACATTATAGTAGTATAGTTGCTGTTGTAGGGCCCATAAGTTACTTTTAAGCATTTAAAGATTAAACTTGGTATAAATGCTGAGTAAAATAATGAGAATTTTAATTATTTTGTTTAAATTTTTATTAAAATCTGAATTATATTACTTCTATGCTAACTTTAATTCCTACATTGCTATTTAAAATTAATATTTACCATGTTTTATGTATCATGTTTTGTGTTGATAGACATAAAAGGTTTTTATTTTTTAATTTCAGATTTAAAAGCAACCGAAGGGATGGGAAATGGCTCAGTATAAACTGCTTGCCATGCAGGTCTGAGGTCCTGAGTTCAGACCTCAAGGACCATCACCCATATACCCACTATGCAACCCTTACAAAGCTGGGCATATCAGTGCTTGCAACTCTAGTACTTGGCGGGGGTGGGGGGGTGGGGGGGTGGAAGCAGGAAGATTACTGGCCAGTTAGTCTAGCCTAATTGATGAGATAAAATTTCAGTGAGAGAACTTGTCTCAAAAACTGAGGTTTTAGCAGCTTTAGCAAGTTAAAGAAGCTTAACTTGAGGAAGTTAGCCAGTGTCAACCCATGTTGCTGCTATTTGTGGGGGTGTTGAGGATTTGAACTCAGCACTTGACTTACATGGCAGCACTTGGCTGACTGAGCCGTATCCCTAGACCTTTCTTTACTGTCTTCTACACATAAGTATCTTTAGCGAAACTGGACAGTTACATTTCTTTTCTAATGTCAATGCCTTTTATTTTTGTTGTTTCCTGGTTTCCCTGGCTAGGGCTTCTACAACTCTCTGTTCAATGCTCCTTATGAAATTAGATATCTCATTAGCCTTTACTTCATACCTTAGAGGAAAGTCTTCAACTTTTTGCAGTTATGATATTAACTTTGGTCCTGTCGTGTGTGTCGTTTACTGTGTTGAGGAACATTCCTCCTATATGTAGTTTGTTGGCAGCTTAATGAAAGGATGTTAGATTTGTCAATTTTTTCTGCATTTATTGGAATAGTCATATGACTTTTGCTTTTCAGTGCTTTGCAGTAATAAAGGACAGGCCATCTAGATGCATCTGGAAAGGTTGGGATGTTAGCTTCCTGTTGTAGTTCCTCTGTCCTCAGGATGAAACTGAGAGCAGACATTTCTTGTCTGTTGTCTGCACTGACTGGCAGAGGGTCTGTGTCTGAAGTGTCTGCTCTCGTTTACGCTGTACCTCTGACTCTGGAGAATAGTTGTTGGAGGTGGGCTTATGATGCCTACCTGTCTGTTATTGGTTGTTTAGGGACATTCAGAAATACAGAACCCCATCAAGCCCAGAGCTAGGTGGTTAAAGAGCTAGCCATTCATGTAGAATCTATAGAAGACAGGGTATTCAACTTTAGAAGCATTTTAGAAAAAATCTGCCGACCTGGGGTTGTCACTGCAATGAGGCTGGAGAACACTCTGAAAGTGCTATGCTTCCTCCAGGCATTGAAGTTCTATTATTGTGATCTGCAAAGACTCCCAAGTGTCCCTTCCTTTCCACAGAGAGAGCTACGAGAATTTGAATGCAGTCCTTCATCAGTTTACTTTAGTTAATTGGTAGGTGTAGGATAAGCTGGAGAGAAAGAAGGCTTGGGAAGTACTGAGCTCCTTTTTAAGCTGCTAGAACCCCATTTGCTGGTCTACTTAACTTGTCAGCAGCAGTGAAGAAGGACACAGGGAGAAACTGAGAGCGTTTGAATTTAAGCCTGTATCTTTCTTCTCTCTGGGAATCAAGTCTTTGGAAGTGTTTGCATATTTATACAACTGTCATTTTGTTCTGTGGTCTAGAGGCATGTATACTCCTGCTCCCTTTTGTTCATATGGCCAGGAGATTAAGAGCCCAAACCTTTGACTGAAGTCAAGGTGATGTACTTCACCTGCTTCTCTCCTTAGGGAAAATTCAGAAGCTGGAGATTTTGTCCTAGTAGTTCAATGCATGCCCTGAGTAGAGATTGAATCTGACTGTGCCTCAGTTTTGCCCATGAATTGAGCATAGATATTTTCAATTGCGTAGTGGGAGAGTCTCACGTTGTTCTGTCTTAGAAAGAACTGATCTGTGTTCTGGGGCTTATTTGGTGCATTCTTGTCTAGAGGAGTCAGGAGCCTTGTGTCCCACCATGTTGTTGCTGTCACTGCTATTCTAATTAGAAAGATGACATTGGCTCAAAGGCTGGGTTACCACAGTAGAAATATTATTATATAATTTGGTTTTGGGTGCTTTTCCAGAGGTCAATTAGAAACTTCAAACTATTTAGAAGACCCTGCCAGCCAGAAAGCCATTAGTCCTGTCCCAAATGAAGTAATTTGTCCAGAAAGCCCAGGTATTTTATGGAAGAACTACGAATTTCTGGTAAATCGAATGTGTTATTTGGAGAATCTCATCCAGTCCTTGAAGATGAACATCTTTCGCCTACAAACTGAAAAGGAATTGAATCCACAGAAAACAGGTGTGCATGAAGAGCTTGTGGAGAATCTGCTTCTATGTGAGTGCTTGATGGGTTTGTGAATCTGTGCTTCCTTCACCTTTCTGCTGCTGTCTTCTGTGTTGTCCATAGCTTTTCTGAATGATCAGCTAAATATAATACAGGGGGAGCATTCCAAGGACCTGAAGCTGTTGCAACTTGAAGTGATGAATTTGCACCAGCAATTGAAAGTTGTCAAGGAGGAGGAAAACAGGGCACAGGATGAAATGCAAAGATTGACTGCCACTCTGGAAATCGCCACGGAGACAAAGGTTTGTGGTCATGTTCTGTAGTGCATTGTCCCTGATCTATCTCCACTAGAAGAGACAAATAGCCCCATAAATCTGAGTGTCACAGATGGGTGATATTGATATTAGATTCTTAACATTTGAAATTTGTCTGCACTGATAACCTCCACTGGTGTGTGTTGTCAGTGGTAGTTCACAGACTCCTTGCTGTGTATAAAGAATAGTGAGCATCTAGACTCTACCCTCTTTAAGAGATACACTAAGTTTTGGAGGTCTCTTCAGACAGTGAAACAAGGGATTTCTTCAGATTAGTGATGTCAATCTCTAGCTGTTTGATGTTCTTGTCAATGGCCCGTCAAGGGTCTGAGTAGTATAAGTTTGGAGGCCAGCATCTGGATTAGAACTTCTAACAGCAGACATCATGGGTGATTCATTTTTACCTGGAAAGGAAAAAGAAGGGAATTCTCAGGGAGATGTCTCTTCCCTGGATATCAGTTATTATTCATCTTATTTATGGTTGGGCCTGGCTTTGTGGGGGTATCTGTTTATTTCATTAATCTTTTTGGTAGCCATTTAGCTGTGCCTTCTGTGGTATCAAACAGGCTTATCAATCCTCGGCCCCATAAGAGAACTGGGTCCAGGCCATTCCCTTTAAGGGTAAGAGGGTCCTTCCACATAGCTGTGGCATAGATTTACTCTTTTATAATAGAAAAGACTGTGTATAGCTCTTGACTGTGTACAGCCCTTAAATAAGAACATTGCCTTTACATAGACAAGACAGGGACAGTTAAAGAGAGCATGAAAAAGGTCAGAGAAGGCCCTGAGAAAAGACAGAGAGAGAAAGAGAAAGATGAGAGCTGGTACAAGAATTGGTTTTCAGCCTCTCTATGGTTGTCAACCCTATTTCCTTCCATCTTGGGACCATTAATTGGGTTATTTTTGCTTACTTCTTTTGGTTCCTGGGCCTTAAATAGGCTAACTTTGTGAAACAGCAGATAAATAATTTGGTAGCAAAACCTATCAGATACATTATCATAAGTTAGCTACGGAGGACCACGAGACTGAAGATGAGGCTGTCTATCCAGGGTGTTCCCAAAACCCATCTCCACCCAACCTAAAAGAGGGGACTTCTGCCCCTAGACCTAGCAGAGAGGGGCCACCCAGAACCCCTTCTGACTGGTGATCTGAATTCTTGCTTAGGCTTCGAGGCTAAGCACTGCAAGGGAATATAAATAAAAGTTAAAAATATCTCTCTGGATTCCCTGAGGGACAAGCCTGACTGCATAGGGGTTGATGTCAAAAGTATCCCCTCTCCAGGAAAAAGACATCGGGATGGGTATGGCCCTCATGCCTCACTGGACAATGACAGGGGGACCGGAGCCATTACAAAGTCCCCTTTAATTACTGGAGGTCAGGCCTCTATCCCCGCCTTCACAAGTTTAGAATTGCCACAGCCCTTCTATACTTAGAGAAGGGAGGAGGTGTCAGGGGCAGCCCTGCTTCTACACTGAAGGCCTAAAATCAGCCATAGGCCTAAAATCAGCAATAGGCCTGTCATACATGTATACTAACACCAAGTCTTGGGTCTCTGTGGATAAACACTGAAACAGATGGCTATAAGCTATTGTACACAGGCAGCTTTTGTGGAAATTTACCAGCCTGAGTAGTCATAGACCTTTTTTATGGTCATAGACCTTTTAAATAGGTAGCCTTGGCAGATAACACCAACTTAGATAAGGACAAGTGAATCATAGACCAAGTGAGTCATAGTGACCTGTCCCCTGAACCTTCACCCAGCCCATACCCTGTTCTGAAAGATATCTGTACTCCCCCTGAACACCCACACTCCGGTGTCAACCCTTTTCTCATGTCCTGCCTTTTTGTGTTTATAACTCCTGTGTGAATAAGTAAAAATTATGATTTGATTTAAAAAAAATAATAAAAAAAGGAAAAAAAAAGAGGTACTCTGTAGTTTGGGAGGTCAAGGCATACCATAAGTTAAAGAGGAAAAAGCCAAAGTAGAAAGCAGAGAAAAAACAGTAAGTGCATAGGAAGAGTGTTCAGGCATGCTTGAGAAGAGAAGAACCCTCGGCCAGTATAGATCTGAAGGTGAAGTCCCTACGGCATTTCAGGGAGTACACTCACAGGCAGCAAAGAAGCCATATTGTTTAGAAAGCAAACCAGCAGCATTGTTCTGTTGCCACAGACCAGGCAAGGTGATAGATGATCAGATTATTTTGAAAGTCCTTAAGAAGTAGCATAATATTAAAACAGTGTATTTTAATAAGAATAATGGAGCCGAGAAGTTTCTTGTCCAAGGTCATCACATGCTTGTCTTCTTCATGTAACTCGGAGTTTTCTGCTAGGTGACATTGGGTTAAAATGGGTAAACTCCAGCTTTATTGAAGTGAGAGTTAATTTTTGGGAAATAAGCTGAGTATTAGCTAATTTCACATTACAGAGCATCTAAAAATCAAGAATAATCAATACCTTGGATCACTCAGTAGAGAATGATAGAGAGTTTTATCACAAGATGACAGGAAGATGTCACTGTGCATTAGCTGTGGGGAAGAGGAGACTGGAAACAAAGGGACCACGTAGGGACCTTTGTGCTGATTATGATTCTGCATGGGTCAGAGCGAGAGTTATAGCTATTGAGAGGTAAAAGAATATTCTAGATATTCTTTTATTGATATTCTAGAATCTGTAATAGGATATAAACTGAAGGTAGGTAAGAAGGCAACCATAACTTGCATCTTTATATCTAGGATTGTGGTGCCGTTAATAATATTTAAAAAGAGTAAATAACGAAAGCTATAATTTTCTTTCTGATTTCCTAAGCATGAATAGTATTTGAAACTGGTAGTGGTGGTACATGCCTTCTTAGGTACATCCCAGCACTTAAAAAGCAGCCATATATCTCTATGCCTGGTTTACATAGTAAGTTCCAGACCAGCCAAGGCTACATAGTGAGACACACCACACCGCACACGCACACGCACACGCACACGCACACGCACACGCACACGCACACGCACACGCGCACACACGAGATGGCTCAGTGGTTAAGGGTCTTTGTGCTTTTGCAGAGGACCCAGGTTTGATTTCCAGAGCCCACATGGCAGCTCACAACTGTCTATAACTCCAGTTGTAGGGGATCTGACACCTTCTTCAGGCGTCCATGGATACCATACATGTACACAGTACACATATATATGCAGGCCAAACACTCATACATATAAAAGTAAATCTTACAAAAATAGGAATATGGACTGTGCAAATGTGAGGACTGGAGTTTGAATCCCCACGAACCACCTGACTTCTAAGCAAGCAAGACATCCCAAGCCTTCAGAGCATGGTCTGTGGAGCAAGCAGATTAACTACACTAGCAGGTTAAAGGATGTCTGAGTTCAGGTGAGAGGCCCTTGATGTATAAGGTAGAGGGTGATCCAGGAAGACACCAGTTATCAACTTCTGGCTTCCACGTGCATATGCACACATGTACACACATACATATGATATGTGTGTGTATGCACAGGCACATGTGTGCATGCATATGCACATGCAAAAAAATAGCATTTATACACTGCCAGGAAAAAAGACTATGACACGATCCACCTAGAGACAGTTTCTTCCTGTCACTTCAGGTTATTAGATCTTTCCTTCTTCTCTTTTTAGAAGAATGCCACTGTTATTGAGGAGGAGCTAAAGACCACAAAGCGTAAAATGAACCTTAAAATTCAAGAGGTAAGAGAAAAGATAGGAGATGTTGAAGGAGGTGTTGGAATTTCAGAGGGACATCAAGAAAGAATGAATCCTTTGAAAAGCAAATTGTGTCATTGTATAAATACTTAAACCATGCCACTTGTAACTAAAGTAAAAGTAAGGCCCTCAGTTGCTAAAGGTGTCAAAACTGCCATAATTATAACTGAAAAAAAAACCCCAACAACAACAATAAAATAAACAACAACAAAATAAACCCTGCTGAGCCAGTAGAGAAACAGTTAACACATACTGTGGCCCATAGGCTGTTGTTAAGTGAGTACCTTCACCTTTGTGTGACATTTTATTATAAAGACATGTTAAGATGGAAAACTCTACACTTCTTATTTTACCTTGAGACCTTCATGTCAACTTAAATGTTTGGAATTCTGAAAGGAGTGGCTACTAAAAGCTGTCAAATTAGTTATGGGTCTGTGTTAACTGTCACCTACTCCAGAAGGAAGCTTCTCTGATGAAGTTTTCGAGATGCCCTGGTCTGTCAGTTTAATGCTTTGCCCCTTTACCTCCAGGTAAAAGTAGTTCTTCATTATGACCTGACTAGCCTCAGGTTCTTGGTCCCAGTGATGGTGCCAAACATGGGTTCCATCTTGTGTAGTGGGCCTTTAATACAATCAGAAAGTGATTGGTTATTCCTGTGACATTCCTGTTACTTTTTCACTGGTGAGTGCATCTTCACAAGCAGACCATTACTGTAGCTCATTACTGTAGCTGTAGGTTTGCAGCTGGCTGAGCTTGGTCTCCTCCAGTACCTTCCAGTACTATGACAGCTAGCTAAAAGGGAGGAAGCTTCGACATCAGTCCTGTGCGGGGCGCACGTGTAGTGGTCTCGCCGGCAAAAAACATACACACACGCGCGCACACACACACATCACACACACGCCAGAATCCTTCCGTATGAACACGTTTATTTCCCCAAAACCAAGATGGTGGAAGAAGACGAGAAGGCGTGGGAAAGCACTGCCTATATACCCCAGAGCGGGGTATTCACCCCCTGATTGGCTGCTTACTCGTAGCGCGCCAAACGCCGTGGGATGGGCTTAGCTTTGGCGGGCTAACCATGGCACATGCGCACTTTACTTGGTACTAGGAAGAATTACGGGCGACAGCGCCACCTAGCGATGGCGGACTTTGTCAGCTCTGCCGCGGCTCCTAACACAGTCCCAGTTTTATTTCTTCATGTTCTATTATTCAAGCATGTGGTGTCTTCATCAATAGGGTCTTACCATAACGTTCTTGAGAGTTACCAAGAACAATGGTAATAGCTAAGAGTATTTGATGTGGGAGGTATAGCTATAGGACATCACTGGCCAACAATTCCAAATAGAGGTAACCCATTCCTGACACTGAACTTTTTGCTGGCCTATGGTATCTAGTATATCACTGTTACCCTGTTATAGGGTAACTCCATTTAAGTTCCTTTGATTTAAGTGTTCCGTGAAATAGTAAAAAAGCAACCCACACCAACACTGCCGGCTAGGCACCGAGCCTGGCCCTGTTTGCTTCTCCACAGCTCCAAAACAGTTCTCTCTTTCCTGTGGCTGGCTGCTGCCAAACCTAGTCAACGCTCCCTAATTTCCAGGGCTAGCTAAAGTGCACTTCTCACAAACCCATGCTTTGCCACCTGCTATGGTTAGCTGTCACAAGTCCCCTGTAACCCAGTAATATCAAAACTCTAGAGGCTTGTAATTTATCAGTCAGATTTTTATCAGGAAATTCTCAACCCACAAAATGTCTACACAGTGAACTCAGAGCCAATTGATATTGTTATAAACTACCCACCTCGATTAGATAAATTGTCTTGTAATTAACCATCCTTTATATGATATTCATAGCTACCTGTGGCTATTTAAAGCTATGCAGATCTGGTTCATCTTTCTCTTGCTCCATATCCTTCTTTGTCCTTGTGTCCCCCTATCTCTCTAAAACTCTCAACCCGCCTTCTTTATCCACTGCCCAATCACAGCCTCTAGCCTTATCTTGTGCCTGCCCTCACCTGCATATAGACAGCAATCCACATGTATGGTTATATTTTAAGAGATTTCTGCAGTAGTTGTTTTTCATATGATTTTTTTCAGAAAGTCTTTAGTATGGTAGATGGCATTTAACACAGAGACCTGCAACTAATCAAGGTACAGTGAATAGGAAATACTTCTTCACTGTAGTCATCTACTGCCTCTGGCTCTTAGGATCTTTCCACCCCCTTTTGTATGATGACCCCTAAAGTTTTGGAGGAGGTTTGTCCTATGCAGACCTTACAGGTTTATGTGGACATAAGATTTCCACTCGTTTGGGCAAATAACCTCAGAGTATGATTGCTGGGCTGTGGTGCAAGCCACATTTAGCTTTATTAGGAACTACCAACTCTTCTTACAACCTAAAAAGACTATTTGTGCGTTTCTACCATTGGAGAGTAAGAGTCTTTGTTGCTGCACATTCTCTTCAGCATTTGGTGTCAGTGTCTTAGATTTTTGCCATTCTCATAGGTGTGTAGTTTACCTTGTTCTACTTTGGATGCCCTAATGATACATAATGTGAGAAGCTTTCCATATACTTATTTTCTTGTATATATCTCCTTTGATGAAGTGTATTTTAGATTATTTTCCAGTAATTGGGTCTTTTTAGTTTTGAGTTTATTACTTTGTATATTTTGGGTCTGATTTAAAGGTATCACATAAAGATTTATGTGCTAACAGCTAGATCCCCAGTGGTCTTGAAAGGTGGTCAGAACTTTTAAGAGGTGGGAGGCCTTCTGAAAAGTTCTGATTCATTCAGGATAATCACCCTTGGAAGGGATTGCTGTAGCTCAGTGGAGCCCCAGTTAGTTCCTATGAAAATGGAGTTGTTACAAAATGGAGTAAGTCTGGCCCCTGAATATGTGGCTTCTCGTTTTACCTGAGTGGTATTGCCACTGTGATGCTTCCATCATGAGACCTTAATGAGAGCTGAACATGTGTGCTTAGCCAAACTGTCTTTCCTAAAACTGTGAGGTAAGTAAACCTCAATTCCTTGTACATTTTCCAGTCTCAGATATTTTATAACAGTGACAGATAACACACTAAGAGAGGATACCTGTCTTCCATCAAAGTGTGACTTATTCAAACATTTTCTGCCAATCTATAGTTTTGTCTTTTCATTTTCTTAGCAGTATCTTTCAGAGAGCTGAAATTCTTACATAAATGAGATCCAATTAAACATTTTGTTTCATAGATAGTAACTTTGGTACTGTATCTAAAAAGTCATCAACAAAACCTGAGTCCCTTTGGTATTTTCATGCTGCTTGCTTGTCTTTGTGACTTGCTGTCCACTGAATCATCTCTATGCTGTTTATTTTCTACAAGATGCTTCTAAGTTACTAGAGGGTCTTAACCCCCAATTTGGAAAACAGATTCCAACAACAAAAAGTGAGGGTAACAGACTGGACTTCACTTTTAGGAAGAAACAAGCATGTTTCAGAGTGATGAGTGAAGGTGTGGGGATGGGCTGGTATACCTTGTAAACTGCCCGGCTGATTTCATCTTTGTTAAACTGCAATGGCGTCTGCTGGTCTCCCTAACTGCAATGTTGCTCTTTAGCTACGGCAACAACTGGCTCAGGAGAAGGATGTCAGGGAGTCTCTTGAGAAATCTGCATCATCCATGCTCCTCAAAGTACAAGAGATGGGCTCAGTGGTGGAGGCAGAACGGCAGCAGGTAGATTTGCCTTCCCTTCTGTTAGAGACACCAAAGGAGAAGCTGACCTTGTGTCTCTGAACTTGTCATTTTGTTTATTTCCTCTAGCTTTGTTAAGGCCCTTTCCTTAGTAGCCTGTTAGCGTTCTCACTACAGTCTTTAAAATATAGTACAAAATAAGAAAAGGCTCTGCTATCCAACCCAACGTTCTTAACTTATAAATGAGAAAGCTGAGACCTGGAGAAGTGAGTCTGTCTCAGGTTTTATAGAGGCAAATGATGTTGGCACAGGATCCTCCTGTAGAGGAAGTCTCTGCTATAAGCATGGATTTTGGAACTCACTGTCTTAGCTAATGCTATATGTATGTGATCTGGGTAGAAAATAGACTAAATGGAACTAACCCTTGAAACAAATAAGTAAAATAACCAGGAACATATTTATGTTGCCGCTTTTAGTTATTATATTCATATTAACATGACATTTTTACCTTTGTTATACTTAATATTTGAAGTACATTTATGCATTTAGAACATTTTAAATTCATATTTTAGTATTTATTACTTGAGTGCATAAGCTATCATTTTTTCCAGTATGTCACAACTGAATTATAAAAGGAGTATATTCTACTTAAGGAATTTATGAAAGATCCTATTTAAGTCAAAGTTAGTTAAGTGTAAATAACACTAAAGTGCAATTCTTCATTTGCTCTGGCTACCCTCCATGTGCTCAGTATCTTCTACTGACTGTTGTGTTAAAATGCACACAAAATGCTGTATTGGACAGCACTTCAAGTAAGAAACTGTAGTCTGATGAGATTTCAGCAGTGACATACAGGCATGTCCCTTTCCTCTTAGTGACAATAAGGTTGAAAATTCTACCTTCCATGTGTTCTGTCCAGTCATGCATTATCGTCCACAAATTGAGTTTTCCTTACACAATTTTAGGTGCACACTTTGCAGCAGAAGTGCATTTCCCTACACAGCTCTATGAAAACAACCCAAGAACTGCTGGCCCAGGAGCAGCGGAAGAATGAAGACTTGGAGATGACTACCCTGCAGCTCAAGTCTGATCTGAGTATGCAAAACCTCCTAAGAACCAGAATTGTTTAGTTGGCCAGGGTTGGTGGTACTTCCTACAACTGAGAGTGAAAAAATTGCTGGTCACCTTCCTATATACAGTACTAAAACCAAGATAAATATTGGTAATAAATTTTATCCTAATTTTTTGTGGTTGCGTAGGACCTTACTCATACTAGGCAAACTGAGCTCGCTCTCTGTCTCTGTCTCTGTCTCTGTCTCTGTCTCTGTTTCTCTCTCTCTCTCTCTCTCTTTCTCTCTCTCTCTCTCTCTCTCTCTCTCTCTCGGGTTGATTTGTTTGTGTGTGTGTTTGTTTGTTGAGATAGTTTTCACTAAGTTGGCCAGGTTACCCTTAAACTTGTGATCTTCTTGTCTAAGCCTTACAAATGTCTAAGATGCTTCTAGGTCTGCCTGAGCCTCTTATTTATAAATCATTCTTTTTCTCCTCCTTGATCACTTCAGTGTAGACTAGTGGGAACATATAGACAGTAAATTGAAGACTGGTGATAAACTATTAATAAGGAAATGAGGCTGTTCCTACTAAGTTACTGCAGCCAGGTTCACCGCTCTTCCAGTTGCCAATCTGTTTGGATTAGCCTATATTTCTAGAGGTGGGTGGCTAATGCACCTGGAAGAAGAGCTTAGAGTGACCCCTCATTTTACAGATGAATTCTCAAAGACTTGGGAATACAAATTCTTGCTCCAAGTCTAAGTGGATGGTCATGAACCTGTTGGTTCCTGCTGTTATCAGTGTGCCCTCTGAAGCGGTGTTAGGCAATCTCCAGTGTAGACACCATGAGTGTTCTCACATGTGTAGGACTTCATGGTTTACATAGAGCTTTCACATAGATTTTATCACTGAAATATTCAAAGTCGTCTATATCAATTCAAAGTTCTAAAAAAAGTGAAGAAGAAAAACTTAATCCTTCTCATTGTAAACCAAGTGTTCCCTTTGTGTAGTCCTTCTGTGGTAAGAGTCCAGCATCCATGCTGCTGCCTTGTTTGCACTCTGCGTGCTCACCTACATCCCAACCGTCCTCTCTCCTTATGGTTTTAGTCAGTGTGGAAACCAACTCTACTGTTTTATGTGCATGTCCCTGCTTTTGTTAAATCTTGATTACAGTAATTTAACAAAAATATGTTGATCATATCCTTACCAGAGTCGTCTGTGCATCAGGTAGAATGTGACCTTATATATATACATCACAAATGACCATAGACCAAGTTCTTTTTTTTTTTTTTTTTTTTTGGTTTTTTCGAGACAGGGTCTCTCTGTGTAGTCCTGGCTGTCCTGGAACTCACTCTGTAGACCAGGCTGGCCTCGAACTCAGAAATCTGCCTGCCTCTGCCTCTCAAGTGCTGGGATTAAAGGCGTGCGCCACCACCACCAGGCCCAAGTTCTTTTTTGATTTATTTATTGTCTGATTCATTTTAGTTTTTTAAAGACAAGTTTGTCATGTAGCCCAGACTGGCCCTGAATTCATGACTCCCCTACTTCAGCCTCTCAAATGCTGAAATTACGGACATGCTGTGTTGATAATTGTGTATCTTAGCATCTAGTCTATATGTGTTATTTCCACAAAATAATGACTAAATAAAATAAAGCTTCTAGGAAAAAATGCTATGTGGCACAGTCTAGTAGGTTCTCATCATCATGATACAGACTTTCTGTTTTTAGATTCCAGAGATAACCTGATTTACAAGTTGGTTGAAGAAAATAAGGTATGTGTTCATGTGGCAGGATACAGAGGTGGCCTTTCTCTCATTGTTAAGTCTTGACCATTCATCATGCTGGCACATAGACTTCTGATTTTTCTAAAAACCTTTAGGGAAAAAGTTTCATGTACATAAGCTGTATATTCAGGCAGTACTCCCTATTAGAAACTAAGTGATCAGTTTTTTGCAGGCTACCATGTTTTGAAAAGGTAAATTGGCAAAAATGAGAATTTTGTGAATTTTGCCAATTGTAAAATAATTTCTAAATATATATACATGGTTGGTGGCTGCACAGCAATGTAAGTGCATCGAATACTACAAACTATGCTGTTAACATGAGGCAGGACCATGAACTTTATTTTACATAAGTTTAGAAAAATGTTTTTATATCTTGTTACACAATGGGGAACACTCATTTGGAATAGCATCTCGGTTGCTGTCTCAGCCTGTGTTTCATGGTGTTTATCTTCCTGCTTCTGGGAAATCTGGGAAGTAGTTTCCTCAGGAGAGGAAGAAGCTACACTCTGTTCTTCTACTAAAAAGCTTTTAAGGACACTTAAACCAAACTTTACATCTCTCCCCTCCTCCCAGTCTCAGAGGGAGTAGTCTGTCTGTCAGAGCACAGGTGCTTATCTTCATTCTGAGGACTTCAGGGTGAAACACCTTATAACTTTCAAAGGTATTCCTTTGAACTCACAAAATCTTACTGGTAATAAAAATGTGTATGTGATATAAGAACTTATTCTTGGGGAGACTTACTTGATATAAAAGTGTAACTGAGTACTTATGGAATGGTTTCAGGTCAGTTTTTTTTTCTAATCAGAATCCTAATATAAAATTCTATATATTTTTAAATGTTTATTAAATGTATTTCTTTATTCACTTCACATCTTATTATCAGCCCGCCTCTCTTCCCAGCCTCTTCATGCAGATCCTCCCCCATCCCTGTCTCCTCTTCTCCTTTGAGAAGGTCGATCACCCTCCCTCTCCCCGACCCCCAGCACATCAAGTCACTGAAGGACTAGGTGCATCATCTCCCACTGAAGTCAGACAAGGTAGCCCAGTTAGGGGAACAGGATTCATAGGTAGGCAGGCGACAGAGTCAGGAACAGCCCCTGGTCCTGTTGTTGAGTGACCCACATGAAGACCAAGCTGCTCATGTGCTGCACATGTGCAGGGGCATAGGTCCAGCCCATGGTGACTCTGCTGCATATGTGCAGGGGCATAGGTCCAGCCCATGGTGACTCTGCAGCATATGTGCAGGGGCATAGGTCCAGCCCATGGTGACTCTGCTGCAT